TCATGTTTCACAGTTTTTTTTTCGCCAGCACATAAGTGAAACGTGTGGAATCGCTAACGTTCCACCTCGCTTCAGTTCTGTACTAGCCAATTTCTATGATAAAAATACGAAAACAGATTTAGAGTGAACGCAGAAGAGAAAACTGTGAAGAATGAGCAAATGAAAATGGAAATGAAATGAAAACACAGCATCGTCTTATTGAAGGAAAAAGCTATAAGCATGCAAAGCACAGTAGAGAAAAAAAAACTCACGTTTGAGTTGACGATGTCTTCATTGGAAAGCAGAAATAATAATAGTAGAAAATAAACGTCCTTGAAAATCAGACGTTCAGACGAGAATATAGCTCACAGCGAGCAGCAGCAGAATAATCAGACGTAGTGAATAAGAATGATGCAGCGTAGACTAGGAATACAGCTGAAGACGCCGAGAATATCGAAGAAAACAACGGATTCCTCAGAAAATGCAGTGGCTGAAATATCGGCTATTGATTGGCGAAGACGCATAGTTACTGTATAGTTGACGCAAATACTTGATAGTTGTCCCGGGAAACTCGGCCCTGAATTTTTCCTGTTGTAGATTTAGCGGCGACTTGAAGAGACTTCAGCTACTAGCCAAATTTATTCAATTACATTCATTTGCTCCTGAGTAGGTCAAGTCAGATCACAGGAAGAACTTAGTTGTAGGCGCCATTCTTTCGTACAGATGCGGCTGTGTGCCATTGCGTACACTGCGGGGCTACAGTAACCTTACGCCCAGTTTTATTCAATGTCGAGGAGAGACTTCGTGGAAGATGCGTCTATATTCGAGCGGAGGGGGATATACAGATTTTCAGATAGCTTCCCCTTCGTCACCATTCCCCAACAGGTCAAAGCACAAAGGGCCACGATAGCGGACTCTATGTGTTATTCTGTTAATATATGTGAAAAGATAGCGGTTATGTGATAATACGTGTACATACAGTGCAGTTCTCAGCGGACGGTGGGGCGGTCCTAAGGCCACGCTGGCGAGCGGCCCGATAGTGGCCTATTGGTGGAAAGCCGCAAAAACCTTTCCTCTGCCTCTCTGATACTGACTCTGCGCTCTAACACACACCGCCACACAATCTACTCACTCTTCCTTTCTGCACTCTCGCCGATCAATAATCGCTCTTCGACAGCTGATTCCTGTCGCATTTTCGCAGCTTTTTGCCAGATTCAGCTCGTTAAAGCTGAAATTTTCCGACTTTCGATTTCAATGTTTGTGTTCGTACTTTCCGCCGCGACCCATGCCTGGCCACCCATGTGGACCTGTCGGGTCCACGACCTGGATGGGCGTGGCCCGAGATTACGGTATCGCAGGAAGCTGGCGCAAGGCAACTGGAGGACGAGAGTAGACTCAGTGGTAGTGAGTACTCACGATGTGACGGTCACCCCCGACCGTCTTCCACTCCCTTCCTTTCCCCTTTGATGTTATTATGATAAATATGTATAGCCTAAAACTCTTTTGTATTCAAAAACCGCTACACACCTTCAGATACAGGAGTCATGAACCTGTAATCTGATATGGAGGTCCGGCGAGATGAATTTTTCGGACGTTATATACTTTTGAAGTAACTTCATAACAACAATTTTTTTCTATAAAAAAATTACAACTCTTTTGGATAAGTCTCTTCCGTGACCCCACCCAATCCCCTCCCCCTTCGTCTTGATAAGTCGACATATCAGAAGAAGACTAGGGAAGCAACTTACATTGGACGATCTACTGTATACAGGTAAGCTTTACAATTTTTTTTTGTTTTGAACATGCATATTTCATAGAAAATTTTCAAAACTGAAAAAAAATAGAGGGACGAGGACGCTCTACCTCTTGCTCACTTGTACTTGAGAATGCACACTGTGCATCAACAATCAAGCACTCCCTGGTTTTTTTACTTGTACTTGAGAATGCACACTGTGCATCAACAATCAAGCACTCCCTGGTTTTTTACTTGTACTTGAGAATGCACACTGTGCATTAACAATCAAGCACTCCTAGTGTCCTGGCGACGAGATCCCCCTTCACGGCCCATTTTGCCATATCGTTCCGCCTGATAGAACCCTCGGCCACTGGTGTCCAGTCAGGCCCATAGGTTTCTTCTTGCATTTTGTGAACTACTGATCAGTTTCGGGCGGAAGAAACCCTCGGCCGTTGGTGGAGGAGAAAAACTTCCAATCCAGTAAAGCCCACGGTTTCTTCTTGCATTTTAGTTCCTCGAATGATTGTTGGGGCGAAGCTTAACCTTCAATCCAGTCATTGAGAGGTCTTTTTTTTAACCTGCGTTCACGGGTTTTCGCTTGCCGTGTTTTCTTGACGTCCATACTACTTTTGTAGTTATAGGAGAACAATTTCTCCCAGATTACCGTTTAACTTTAAGGGAAAGGACTCGTTCGCCACACAGTCGACTCAAATTAAAGGTACCAACCCATGAGAATTAGCTACTCTCATTTACCCTTAGGTCACAGAAGGGACCTTGCACTAACAGAACTGCAAATCCTCGCGAAAAATCTATGCCCAGAATCGTGCGTAGGACTAAACTATTTCGTTTAGCAAGCAATGCAATGCTTGGCAAGGCCATAAAGTTTCTGCTAATCCATATAAAAGGGCGCCCGCAAATAAGTGCGTCAAACGCCCAGGCATTGGCAGAAAACATATTGCGCAAATAACCTAGCACTAGCGAGCAGATACAAATTGCGCAACCGTTCTGGCGATAACCTAATCTGTTGACCGACAGGAAGAGCACACACACGCCAGTCCAACTGTAATGGATAGCGGTGCTAATTACGCAACGCTGCTTCGGGCAAGCGGCGTTGTTTTATTGTTTCTCAATAAGATAATACGGGAACAAACATTGCGCGCTTCTAATAACAAAACTCCTAAAAACTTGATATTGGGGACTAAAAACATACAGTAAAGACCAGCTCCTAACCTAGAATAGCAAAGTAAGCCCAAACTATGGGAAAATGGGCGGAAAAAACAGAGAAAAAAAGTCAATTTTTGCTTCAAAACTCTTATTCAAGCGTCTCGTGTGTGATCACACAGACTGCTGACTACCGTAACCTCATTCTTAATATTAGGCGCAATTTGAATGGCCTGCGAGCGCGGCACAGTGACGTGTTTTGCGTGCAGCCACACACAACACGCACCTACAGTATACCCCACGCCTAATTAAATCATACCACAGCTCAAAAAGTGATTTTTCAACGAAATTGCATGTTAACTCTTTCAGATCGTTAAAAGATGGAACAAAAGTCAGAATGAAAATTCTAGGAAGGTACAAAGGTGTCAGTAAGAAGCAAGAAAGAGGGACAACGCAACTTTTCCATAAGAAAACGACCTAGAAATCATTATGACAATGGAAATTCACTAGGTTGCGGCTGATAATGTCAATAATGCGCATCTTACAATCGAGTGCTGTGCAAAATGAGCAAGATTCAGCACACGGCTTACCCAAAACTTTTTATTAGTCTAGTTTTTCTTATTCATTTGATATTTTGTGTAAAATACAAGGATTTTAAGGAGTTAACGCTAGCAACTGCTCCAAATTTAGCAAATAAAACCGTATTCCTTGGGAACTTGAGCTGTAGGCAGAATAATTTGAACGGAACTCCTCGAGATTCTTCGATTTCCAGTAATTTCAGTTAAGAACCACCAGGAACTTCAATCGAAACCTGATATATTATCAATACAACCTCTCTCTTTTCATATTTTACCTACCAATTCATGGAAATCTTTCCTGTCGTAGTTCCTTCTCCCTAAGTCGAGGAGAAGAACATGTTATCTTTTATACACTTATAAAAATACCGACAGGAGAGTATTTCAAACCATGTCTTCGGGTAATTTATGAATCGAGCTTCAGATATCTACAGTAACCTATAACTCATATTTGTGGGCGGGGATTCATCAACTTAGTGTAAATGAAGCCCACATATATGCGCTGGACCTCGACCCCAGACATTCCCAACAGCTAGCTCCTTCTGGACTAGTTGCCTCTGTTTTCTAATTTCGACAGCCAACTACCAAGGACCAACATACAGCCTCTCAAAGATCGACTTTATTTCCAACCAAGGATCAATATACTTCCATCTTCTCAATCCATCCAAGGATTAGTGAGTCTTTGACATTAGCACTTAGCACTATTACCTTCTCTTTTTTCCCTTCTTCATTGCTTTTCTTTTTTTTCTGACAGTTCTTGATCTTTTCTCGAGGTCCAACTCCTCGAGACTATCCCATTGATTTCTAATAGACTTCTTATAATTCAATCAGCATAATCTTGATAAAACAGAATAAAAATAACACAGAGTATCGAAGCAATTATTCGACCCCTCTTATGAGCAGTTCCGACTCTGAATTACATACAGATTCAGACGGAAGACCTTTTCATAGACTAGCAGAAGGGAGATATTCAGTTAAGCGGCGCTCTAGATTTCGCCTGCCTAAGTTCTCACTTCCAAAGAAACCTAATCTCAAGAACCCTACCACATACCCTCAACCAGCTAATTCTATTCGTTAGCTCTGACTCGGAACCTAGGATCCAGCCGCACCCAATTCTTTCACCACCGCAGTTAACACCAACCGCCCCTCGCTTAGATAGCAGAGCGAAACCATCACCAAATCGGATTTACAGTTTCCTGCCGTTCCTGTCTTCCAAGACCACAATGTAATACCCTTAACTGCGCAACTATACGAGTACGTGATAGAACTTTCTGCAGACTCAAATCAAATCGATACAACACCGTCAAACATTTCAATGGAAATTAATAACCAACCGGCAAATAACCAAGCTGGAAACATCCAGTGCTGGAGAATTCCTCCAGTCACAAAAGGAAAAAGTTCTCGAGTCCCTTGGTTTACACGACTTGGTCAGGAAGATTGTCATCGGATCGATCTGTCTCCTGTTAGTGATTGCTGTTGCAATCTTATATTGTCAAACAGCGTTGTTTCGAATACCTTTGAACCTACTTTTCCGAGCCATAGGTAGCGTAATGTCTTTCATCTTCACCTCCATCTGCAAAAGGAAGTCTTCTCCCTCGTCCGCAGCCGTGAAAAATCACCGACAATCTCGCAACAACGTGGTCTCGAATAGCGAGCCAACGACACCCCATCTTCGAATGATGAACCTGCCAGCTGCGCACCACCAGCAAGCAGTTTTACCGTCTCCCATGATTACCCTACCTTCGCAACCCACACAACAATCTGCGAAGCTGGACAGTTCCCCAATAGTAGCTCTTCTTGACACTGGATCTGCTCTAACGATTGTCTCTGATACAGTAGCTCGAAGATTGAACGCTCAACTGTCCCAATCTACGAGTTACAAGAGGTATCACAGCGAATGGATCCATCATGAAACTACTAGGTCGATTTACACCAAATCTCACTATAGGACAGAAAACAATGCAAATCACTTGCTATGTCGCTTCTGATGCAAACTGCTCTTCTCCATTTATTCTGGGCAACGATGTTATCCAACAATTCGCACAAACAGTGTCGATAAACTACCACTCTAACACCGTCTCTTTTGACAAGATTATCGTCCCATTTACAATAACAACTATAACTTCCCCGCTCTTCCAGTTTACATAGTTAATAACACTGTTTTACAACCTTTTTCTGATAGTGTGGCAGTAGGAACTACCAATACTATATTTCCTCGTAACTGGGAACTCTTCACCTCAGATGACCCAATATGTCAGCTCCCGGAGGAAAACTAAGGAAATGCTAAGAACGCGCATCATAGAACCAAGCACTAGCAAATTTGCTTCCCCTATAGTACTGGTTAAAAAGGGTCCCAAGAAAGACCAATGGCGATTCACTGTGGATTATCGTCAAATAAATGCGATAACTGAAACTGAGACTTATTGTATCCCCCACATGCAAGACATTTTAGACCTTGCAGGCGGGAAAGAAGTTTATTCAGTTCTTGATTTCAAGAGTGGATTTTTCCAAATTCCTTTACTGGAGAAACATAAGGAACGCACAGCGTTCTCCTCCTTTTTGGGACTTTACCAGTTCACTGATGGCCCAGGGGCTAAAAGGTGCCCCAGCTACTTTCAGAGGGTAGCGAACAGCCTAATCCGTGAATTGAAATCATGTTGTTTCGCTTAGGTTGTTGATATAATAATTGCAAGCCAATCGGTCATTCGACACCTAGTCGACCTAGAGGAAATTTTCATACGTATAAGAAATTTTGGTATGAAACTGTCGCCGGAAAAATGTTCGTTTTTCCAGACAGAAATTGAATACCTAGGAGTTCTAGTCAGCAAAAACGGTACTCGCCCTAACCCCAATAAAGTCGCGAGTATCGCTAAGATCCCACGTCCAACTGACGTGAAAGCGTTAAAGTCATTTTTAGGAGCCGCATCATATTTTAGGCGTTATTTGCCGCGTTTCTCAATAATAGCTACACCGCTTAACAATCTTCTTGCCAAAAACACACCGTTTGTGTGGAGTGAGGCTCAAGAACAAGCGTTTCTCACTCAAAAAAGCCTCTAGTTGAAGCACCCTTATTAGCTTCTCCTACATTTGGAGAACCGTATATTATACATACGGATGCATCAACTACAGGCTTAGGCGCATGTCTGCTTCAATACAGTAAAAAGACGCAGGGAGAACATCCTATAGCGTACTGCAGTCGCGCATTGAATAAACATGAGAAGAATTACGCAGTTATTGAGTTAGAAGCTTTGGCGATAGTTTCTGCTTTAAATCAATTCTATCCCTACGTAGCCAATGCAAAAATAACGCTCATTACTGACCACGCGCCTTTGAAATCGCTAATGCATAGGGCAGATTTGGTTGGTAGACTAGCGAAATACCAGATTGCTATACAAGCCTATGATATCAAAATCGAATATAGGGCAGGTAAGCATAATCTGCGATTTTCTCAGTCGCTATCCTCTGCCCACCATCAATGCGATAGAAGCGCAATCGTTCCCCTCTCTTGAAGAGATTCAAGCAACGCAGAGAAATTCAAAGTACAGTCCCATCATAAAGTTTCTTACTAAGGAACTAGAGGATGTACCTGAAGAATTTCAAAGCAAACTGAAAAACTTCTCAATGCATAACAATTCTCTGTATTATAAAATACACGGCAGGGAATTATTGCTTATTCCAGATGAAAGTATGCAAACTAGCATAATTGCTATATTTCAT